CGCTAATATAAGCCTTCATTACATTTTTCTTAAAAAAAAAAAAAATCTGTATGTTTATGTAAACATCAACTCAGTTCAAGCAGAACATCGTTCAGATTCAGTACACTAGGAACAGTGTAGTCTGGAGTCACAGAGCCCTGCGGGAGAGATTTACAGTCACTGTTAATCCACACAGTGGCCCGCACTCTTGCATTAATGCCTCCCTGGATGTCTGTGCCGAGAGAATCTCCCACCATGATGCAGTCCTGCGGCTGGACTCCCGCAGACTCGAAGCAGTGAGTGAAGATGTAGCGCGCCGGTTTCTGCTCAGGATGATCTCCTCCGACCACCACCAAACTAAAGAGACCCTCACATCTCACCGCTTCGATCTTCTCCCACTGCGTCTGAGTATCGCCGTTGGTGAGCAGAAGCAGTTTGTAGTTCTTCCGCAGTTCCTCCAGGAGGGATCGAACCTCAGGAGAAAGAGTCAGCACCTGTAATCGTGTGTTCTTCCATGTGTAGTAGCAGCTGTTGGCAAGAGCCGGATCAGGATCGGTGCCCTGCGTCTCCTGCAGGGCTTCATACCAGTGATGGATCCTCACATCATCTATTGTTTTTCCTTCTGATGTGTCGAACGATTCGTGGAGAAGCTTTCGTAAAAAGCGATGACAGATGTCTTTGACGTGGCTTTCCTGTACATGCATCGACTTCAGCAGCTCACACACCTAAAGAAAGAACACAGTGTAAATCATGAGATCTACATCTTTAATTAACAAAAATAGTTCAGGTTGGATTCAACACAACAAAGTTGTAAGTGTTGACCAAAAAAAGTGTCCAAATATTTTTGGAGAACAATATCATAGTATTAACACAGTACGTGTCAAAAAACATCATAATATCATGACACTTTGATGTCAAAGAATACCATTACATTGCCATTATATGTGTGCGAAAACCATAGGAATACCATGGTACTCGGATATACACTTCAAAGTATGTAGAAAAAATACCATGGCATGTGTCCAAAAATCATGGTAATACCATGATACTTTGATATACACTTGAAAGTGTGTAAAAGTACCACGGCATGTGTACAAAAAACATGGTAATAGCATGGTACTTTGATATATACTTCAGAGAATGTCAAAAAAATACCATGGCATAACCATTATGTGTCGAAAAAACATGGTAAAATTAAGGTACTTTGATGCATTCTTTACGTCCAATAATACCATGGCATGTGTCCAAATACCATGGTAATGCTATGGTACTTTCAGTGTACTTCCATATATGCTTCAAAGTTTGTCAAATAACGTAATACCATACGTGCCGCCAAAACTAAGGTAATACCACGGTAATGTCGACAGTTCTTTGAAATGTTCGTTTAAGCATTTTTCTTATTCATTCGTTTACCTTCTCAATGGCAATTCGTCCTGCGCCGGCTGTATCGACCAGCGTGTTATCCAAGTCAAATATAATCGATGAAACTCCTCGACTTTCCATCATATTCCACATCCACGTATGATATTAACAACACATCCGAACACGCGGAACTCCGGCTACTGACGTCAGGCAGGTGTTGTGACGCAACGTCACATTGCATTCTGGGAGATGTAGTTCCCGAGGAAAAACCCGGGGATTTATGACAGGTCTGTAGTGTACATGACATGTAGTTTTTACATGCTGAGATTGTTAGATCAGTCTAAAA